GAGAGACACGGCTTCACGTATACATTCATATAGCCATGTAGCAAGGCTTCATATCAATTGTACTTCAGCGCCGCTGAGAAGTGCCGAATACCGGCCTACTGGTCCCAGACGGGCCTTATCAAGCTTCTCCCATTTATAACCAATGCAGCGTTTCAGAAATTTACTAGGCCGTTTATATTCCAACTATGGCTGGAAATCTCATGAGAATGAAAGTCGGAATCGCGGATCAGCCCACGATTAATTTGTTCGTGAATTTTCAGATAACGAAAGTTCTCACCTCCTTTGCCCTAGGGAATAACGGCCCGAGTGGAATGCGATGCGTCTTTGGATTCCACTCCGGTAGGTCGGTAACAGATTGACAACGATATGTGGTTTGGTTGAATTTGGCCTCACTACGTAACCAGCCGGGCATCTGTAAAGTAAATTATGTATTTTTCATCGGCAAATGAAATTGAAGAGATGAGTCGTGTGGACGAGATTCGCTCCAAAGACAATTTTCTTAGAAGCAGGTCCTTTTTTGAGGATTGATCCTTTCCCTATCCCTGACAAAAAAGCCAAAAGTTGGTCAGAGAGTGGCTTTGAACGTGGAAGCTGTGACAAAAGGCCCACAAAAATTCGTGAGACGAAAAGTATTCCCCTCAATATGAGGCAGGTCATAGTATGGTAACCTCGACCAACCTCAATTCCATCCATTGCCGGAATAGGATCTGTACCGCCAGCAGCGGCTTGGAATACGAACCACGATCCGACGTCAGTCGTGCATTGACCAGCTACACACAGCTCTGCTATAGACGAGTCGAGCTAAAGGCAATCGTTGACTGCTCGACTACATCCGATCAATAATCGATTCGTGCTTACCGTAACTGTGTGCGCGTATTTGCCGTAGAACTGAACGGCAGCACGAAGTCTTTCCGCTTCTTTGGCTGTCCATTGTAAATGAGCTGCTAACAGGAAGGAGCGATGCTCATGATGGGCTACGAGGTTGCACGAGCGATGACGAAAGAAGTCGCCTAAAGCATTTGAATAGAGTGGCGCCCCAAAAGTAACGCAATAAATTATGCTAGACGTGGGTCTTGGCATTTTCAGATATTATTCTTTCAGTAGGGTGATAAATGGATTGCGCAGCGCTACACCAGAATCCGTTTAGACAATCACATGTTCAAGTGCACTGAATATTTTAGCGCGTCAAAGGGCAGATTAATGCCTTTCTGGCAAAGGATTTCTCTCGTCACGTGTGTTAGGTCCGGTCAATTGGTTCGCTGAACAGACAAACTAGTATTCGCTGGTAAGATCATATTAATCATACACACCATTCCATCCATTTTTCATTTACCACCGAGAACGCGACGCTGAGGGTCTCGGAGCCAAGATGGGAGAACCGTCTAAGCAAAACCTTGTTTTGGAAGTTTAAACCTGGATTGTAGGGTAGACATGCTAATGTGTCTCTTCTAGCCGACTCGATCGCGGCAAGCCCTCAGATAGCTCAACCACCACCAATTTTGTAGCACTCGAGACCGTAATAGTGGTGCGAAAGTCGAGTGCGTGGAGTCCCAAGTAGCATCACTGTCATCAAGCTTATGGGGATCTTGATATAGTCAACGTCCCTTTCGCTGCCCAAGAGTAGTGACCATACCCTATTTAACGTGAAAATGTCGGTTTCCGAGATTGGATATCGCTTTAGTTGACCAAGGGCAACCACAGACCTAAAATGAGCCCTT